GTGCAGAGGAAACCCCAAAGGAAAAAAAAAAAAAAACCCTCTCACACTGTGTCTAACTTACTACGCTCTATTCTCCTCAAACACATCGGTCTTCCTTGATGAGACGAAAAATGCTTCACTTGGCGCTTTACTATGTGCAACACTTTCAGTACTTTGAGGCCTAAATACATGTCATCCATCATTAAGAGGAGTCTAAATCCCTCTGTGGACTGAAGTAGCTGCTTCAGTCACTGTAATATACTGTAGTAGTTTCTTCAGTATGTGAGTGGCAATGTGAATGAAAAAGGGAAGCCAGTTTCCCAGCTTTGGTATGCAGAAACTAGCAGGAAAGGTCATCAATTGTAGAGTGTAATGCACACCAAATGATTACAGTATCATTAAACCAAGAACCAAGAAGACCTAATTAGTATATATATATATATATATATATATACGTATATATATTTTTATTTCATTTATTTATTTTAAGTGTTGGGAGGGTGACCTGACTTTCTGCACGTGGACTAACACATTGCTGAGCTGCATGGTGCCAAAGAAACCATTGAGTATGAACCTAGTAGCAGTGTTAGGGGTTCATTAGTAGGATCAGAAATAACTTGCCATGTATTACATTACACTGCCAGTATTTGGTCTCTTTATGAGGTGGATGTGGATCTGGGCGCTTTCTGAGCTTTGATTAATATCGATAAATAAAAAAATAAATAAAAAAGATACCTACAGTAACAACGAAGACTCAGAGATGTGTTCACACAGCACAAGTCCAATCCTGTTCTCTGTTTCACTGCTGGTTTACCAGCTGATGCCATGTTCCTAGAGGAAAATTTACTGACAGAGAAGAAAAAATATAGTACACATAATACACAGAAATACAAGTAAAAGATGTCAAATCACACCACATCACCAAGATACTGCAGATTATGTCAAATTCCACAATCTACATAAATATATAAAAAGCATAGCAGGGGAACACAGATAAATCTAGACTAAGAAATTATTGGAAAAAAAGACTGAAGGCTTGAGGCTATAGACATAGACATTGAAAACATATCACATATACTCAGTCATTTTTCTGTTGTTACCAGGATACCTGCATGAGTGACCTGACAAGATCCCCATTTTTGTTACGCCTGGCAAACACAGTGCTTAGAACAAAAAAAAAGCCAATCTCAAATGAAACAAAGTCACTTTATTTATTTATGTTAAACCCGAACAGATCAATGCAAAATAATGATTGTTTGATTTAGTATCTTTGAAATTTAAAGCTGACATGAAACCAACATGCAAGTTACATCTGAAAGATGAACCACCTTTATCTCTACTGACACTAAAGGCAAAAATCAATCATGTCACCATCTCCTGTTAATATTGATCAGAGACAATGCGCACAGCCCCTTTCCACTCGCAGAGGCTTGAAACGTTTTAATTAAAAATGCATCGTGGATGGTCTCATTCACACTGCACCCTGTAAGTCTCCAGATTGGCGGCATGCTGGTTTTTCATATATAAAAACCAGGGACTGGCTTGTGTTGCTAAGCAACACAAAAGAGTCAAGTGCATTTGTTTATTGGCCAATAAGAATGCAGACAAAGTTTCAAGGTTTTCGAGGAAGGTCCTGTAATAATATAACTCACAGAAAAAATAGAGGCGAGCATTCTCTAATAACAACCTTTCATATATATCAGGGAGTGTATAAATAGTGTAATGCATAAAGAGTTTCCCTCCTGCATCCTCAAACAGCTCATAAAACAGCTTTCAGGCTGTTGGGTAAAAAATGTGGCTGATTTACTGTTGGTTTTAGCTCCATACAGAACATACAAATTACAGCTGAATCTCTTCTCTATTGTGTGAAACAGGTTCTATAAATTGAAATGCTACTGAGGTAGTCAACAGTGAATATGATCAAGCTATAATGCTCTCTGGCTGTATTCCTAGTACAATCAGTTTTGTTTATACTGTACATATTGTTCCATTATGTTGTTCTGTTCATAAAGAAAAAGGGTGAAAAGTCTGATCATCTCCAGAGTCCAAGGAAAAAGACATATTTACCTCTTTTACATATCCACCTCCAGCATTTTGGGCCCCCAAGCACCTGTGCCACCCACTGGATGGGGACAGAATCACACCTCACAGCCATAACCCGGCACATATGGTCCTTTATTTGTTCTGTTTTGCCTGAATTAAAACTGAAATTAATTATGACCTTGTGACAAGTTTCACAGTCAATAGATTCTTGAGTTTATAATTATTATGTCTGAACAATGGAAGCTGTTGCCAAGTGTCCAGGCAGATGGTTTCTTGAAGAAAGAAAATGGTAGAAAATAGTGATGGATGTGTAAAAGGAAGTGCACAACAGGTGACAAATTGCATCAGACACATTCTCAAGAGCACAGACCTTGTGTAATGCATGTACTCCCTCCTCGTTGTTATTACTATCTGGGCACCCAGCCTGGCATGATGGTATGCCAACTGTTCCCCGATGTACTGGCACCCGTCACCAGCAGCACCCTGGCACCTCGGAGGAACTCTGGGGGAGGGAGAGGCAGTCAGCAGTCGGCATGTGGCTACATGTGGTCAGGAAGAGCAGGAATCGGGAGAGAAGATGTCTGCTCGTCATCAAAGCGGGGCTGACATTTGACGAACAGACACAGATCAACTCTGTTATCAGACAGAAGCTCCACCTCATGGCAGATTGTGATGGGCATAAAATAATTACAACTATCTGAGCAGGGTCATCTCTAATATCATTTTGTTGGTGCTGAGTAATTTACAAACATGAAATAAATTGTAGTGATAAAGGACAAGCAGTCGTGACTAATTATGTGATCTTCTAATCATCCAGTCTTTACAGTATTCCCTTTTATAAGATGCACCAGGGTAAGTAGGAGAAATAACTGCTGCTCAGATCAGCAATCTTATTTAAAACAGGAGAAAGCTATTCACTACAAAACAGATGCCGGTGGCACGGTCATTGTATTCATCATTTTGATCGCCCACTCTAGGAGGCATAACTAATGATTACAAAGAAATCAATAAGGATTATAATAATGTTCATCTTATATAGAGCGTCTACTGCTGGAAGATAAGCAGATATTTAGATGATTCTGATCCTAAATTATCTGCTATGTAAGTTAATGGCTTCTGTTTCTCTGATTTCATTGGCCTTTAAATACAGAAGCTAATCAGGAATTTGATTAAATAGTTAACAACAAGGTGATGAGCAGAGCTAGTGGGAAACGTTATCCTCTGAGTCACTTGACTTTTTAAAGCATGACACACTGGTGTACTTTTTATTTAGTTAAGGTGGAAGAAGTATAATCTTGGCTGTAATATCTCAACTACAAGGTGGACTGTTATGAAAGTTTGTACAGACATTCTTGGCTCCCACATGATGAATCCTAATGACTTTAGTGGTCAGTGACTTTTTCTCTAGCACCACCATGAGGTTCACATTTGTGGTTTTAACTGTAGGATGAACTGTCTTGAAATTTGGTGCTCACAGTCACGTTCTGCTCGGGATGAATTCATCTAGTGCCATCATCAGGGCAACAATTAAATATGTCGAATTTGACCTACAATTTGATCAAATACCTGCAAAACTTACCATCAGTATCAGCTGTACTGTGTTTGCTGCCAATGAAATGTTAGCATGATTACATTAGCATTTTAACATGCATCTGTTGGCATTCTGCTTCAAGTACAGAGCTACTAGCAAGGCCATCGACTATTAGATCTTGTTGACCAGTATTTTCTCGTGATGTTTTGTTGTTTAGTCCCTTTAATAGACGTAACAACGTTTGCCTCTCTGGTTAACATGGTGTCAGAACCCACAGTTTAAAAGTTAAATAAGAAAGACAGGTGAAAGTTTCTGAGCAAGCTCCTGATGGTTAAAACAACCCACCGACCACAGACCACAACCAGGCCACCAGCCACAAAAGCAGAAATTAAAACAATAGCTATGATGGCATAAACATCTATTAATCACTATAGTATCTCCCGCTGTAGTGACTTTTGTAATGACTTGTTTTGCAGGTGTGAACTTGTGTCAGCATGTGTCGAGCTCTGCTCACCTCGTCCAGAGTCCAATTTGCTTGTGCATGTTTTTCACATTTACTTATGCAGGGAATTCATTTTAAGCTGTTCCTTTGAAATTAAATACATTTTTACACAATGACACTTCATGGCCCATATATGTTCTGCAGCAGCAACTTTCTAAGGTAACACACTTATAATGACCTCTCTCTCACAATGACTAAAGTGGGCTGTGTTGAATCTCCTTCTGTCCTATAGTTCGGAGGCAGCATCTATTCAATTTCAAAAATCTATATTTTACCGAAATGTGTGAAAGGTTTTTGACCATTGCATTGTTAAAAATGACGATGGCTCTAAATTAAAGCAACTGACTGACAAAATGTCAGTCAAGTCTGAATCTGAGTCCATTCAATGTATTCAGAATGGTCAAGGAGAGACGTCTCTCAATGTAATTGTATAAACTGGCATTTCACATTCGGTTACATGGATAATAAACACGTGGCCAGCAAATCATGGAAATATTCACATTTTGAATAGTTCAAATTCTATCATTATACCAATAATATATATATGTAGCTAAAGACATAAAACAGGAAGTCATAAGATTATGAATTATAGCAATTAAAAGCATGCTATCAAGTATGCATAATACTATTAGATCACCCCAAAAATCACAATCATAGGGGCACAAATATGAATCAAGCCATTACTTAACAACAGATAAAAACTTCTTCAGTACAATATACTAAATCATTCTTTTTTGTTTCACTGGACCCGACTTTTAATCATTTCACTGATCTCTTGACGTGCTTCAGGGAGCTGCTCGTGTTCCTAATCTAATAAAATGTGTCATCTGTTTCATTAAATGAATGTAGTGTACTTCTTACCTCCATGATGGAACACACTCATGTGAATGAACCAAATATCCACCGCAATACAAACAGCCTTTGACAAACAACTGGACGAGAAAATCATTTTCAAGCAGCTTTGTTTTACGTTCATAAAAATGTCTCAAGATTATATTTACAGAACAAAACATATTTAGGGTCACCAAGAACAATATTTTGAGGCCTGAATATATCATATCACATCATTCATTTTTGGCAAATAATAAAGACTAAAGTCTAAAATACTAAACAATGTTGATGGCCAATTTGAACTACATAAATAGTGTGTAGCACAAACACCACGGAAACAACTTGACATCAACATCAGTATTTTTCATATATCATAATGTAAAAAACAGAACAATATGATAAATGACATTTTAGATGAATCTGGTTTTCTATCCATGATGTGAGATACAGTCGAGCCTCATCAGTGCTTACGCACTGCAACTGAAATCTGACTTCACTGTGATGGTAAAATTAGCACACTGGTTGAATGAATATTCTATATTCAACAATCTGAGGCCTACCCAGTGACACACATAATGCACAGCAGACGGGTTTTGCCAAAATGTTACCAGCAGCACAGCCAGATATTCCAGATGAAATAAATAGCACAGGCATATAAAAGTGAAATGAAATATGAGCAAAACACAGAGGTATAGGTAAGAAAGCTGGATTCTTTTAGTTTGATGTGTTGCTTACAAAAAGTATGCATTTGGAGTTTGAAAGTTGCACTATACAAGTGTGGTTTAACCAAATCAAACGTCTAGCTCCATGTCATCTGCTGGGCTATACAACTGGTCTCAGACCTGCTTTATTTACACTGAAGAGGACCTATTTGTCATTTATTAACTTAAAATTGAAATTCAAAAACCAAGATGTCTTGTAATGTGAGACTGAAGGAAACCTCTGGAGGCCAAAAGGTTAAAAAAAAAAAAAAAAAATTTTAAAAGACGGGGCTTTTGACTTCGGCACATTGCCTCCCACTGCAGGAGGAGTGAAATCTTTAACACTTTAACAGGTAACGACTGGTCAGGACAAAAATTAGCCGTCAGCTGAAGATGAAACTGGGCAGTCAGTACTAGGTGGTCTTCACTAGATCGTAGACGTGGATGTGAACGTCATCGTCATATTTGATGTAATATACCGTGGGCTTTGCTGGAACCTGGTAGATGACCAATCCTGTCCTCTTCAGGCCGTTATCTGTGACATACTCCACCTGTTTACCCACAAGGCTCTCTGGCTCCTCACCAGGCTTCCTGTCTGCTGGCAGTAGGTGTTTGTTCTCTGGACGACAGATGGATAAACAAAAAGCAGATAAGTTAGAAAAAGAAAAATAAGACCAACTTAGCAGGAACAGACAATTTCCACAACTCCAGGCCAGAATTCAAACATTTTATTTAGTTTAGTTTATTTATATCTCTGGCCTCGTCTCCTCCACTACTTTCTCCACTTAGTATTGTCACTGCATGATAAGAACAGACTCTCTTAACACTCAATCAAGAAGAAACTCTGCACAAAATGTTCAGGAAAAAAAAAGAGGAGACATTGGAGTATTTCATAACACTGAGTATGTAAATTTGTCCTGTCCCCCTCCCACCTTTCCAGGAGAATCTGAAATATAGTTATTTCTATGCACATAACAACAAAGCTTTCGTTACCGTACCTGACTCTGGCAGAACACGTAGATCTCCATCCTTATAGTCGTCCCACAGCTGGTACATGTACAGCACTGGGTCCTTCTCGTAGGTGATGTAATACCAGTGGGTCATGATGGGGGCTCGGGACAGCACCATGCCTCGCCACTCGTTTTTCTCACCATCTTCCTTCTCGAACAGATGCTCCACAGCACGGCCCACCAGCTCCTCTGCCCCAGGAGGCACCTTTATTTTGTTATTCACTGCAGGAAGGACAAGACACTCTGATTAGCCTGATTACCTGAAAACCTTATAGATCTCAGATGATACAGTATATTGTGACTTTAAAATATCAGTATAATGCTGACTAAGGACCAAAATATGCTAAATTAATTGCACTTTATGATTATGGGATAATACATTAGCCCTAAAAGATTAGCACTTTTTTGACCATAAAAAGATTAGAAAAATAATTTCTCGCTGAAGTCCAGCATCAGTTGGACTCTAGTATTCACACTGTCACTGTTATCATTTGAAGTTATAAGCTATCACATTTTTACGTTTTCTGTTCTGTTGTTGTCTACAATCAGTTGAATTGATTTTGATTCAACATACACTTTGCTCAAGTTTTTACATTTGAGGCAAACCCTCACAGTGATATGTTTCATGTGTCTCTGCAACAACAGCCCTGTGTTTGGAGTAAACAGAAGAAGAACTGGGTAGTTACCAACAATAGACCACCACCACACTAGAAAAAAAGCCAACTCAAAATCCTAAGAAAAGGCTAAAAACTATTTACAGCATGCACACCCCAGGCAATGCTAAAATATGTCCATGATTAGAGATACATAAGTATTCAGACCCTTTACTTGGTAGTTAGTTGAAGCACCTTTGGCAGCGATTACAGCCTAAAGTCTTCTTGGTTATGATGCCACAAACTTTGCACACCCAAATTTGGGGATTTTTCTGCCATTCTCCTCTGCAGTTCCTCTTAAGCTGTGTCAAGCTGGATGAGGACTTTCAGTACACGGCCATTTTCAGGTCTCTCCAGAGATGTGAGGGCTCTGGTTGGGCCACTCAAGGATATTCACAGAGTAGTCCCTAAGCCACTCCTGTATTGTCTTGGCTGTGTGCTTCAGGTCATTGTCCTGTTGGAAGGTAAACCTTTGGACCAGTCTGAGATCCTGAGTGCTCTGGATCAGGCTGTCATTATGGATATCTCTGTACTTTGCACTGTTCACTTTCTCTCAACCCTGACCAGTTCCCCTATCCCTGCTGCTGAAAAACACCCCAACAACCTGATGCTGACACCACCATGCTTCACTGTTGGGATGGCATTGGTCAGGTGATGAGCGGTGCCTGGTTCCCTCCACACATGACGCTTAGAACTGAAGCCAAACATTTGAATCTTGGTTTCATCAGACAAGAGAATCTTGTTTCTCACATGCTAAAATTCCTGTAGGTGCTTTAATGTGTCTTTCACTGAGGAGAGGCTTCCAATGGGCCACTCTGCGGTAAAGCCCAGATCAGTGGAGTGCTGCAGTGATGGTTGTCCTTCTCTAAATTTCTTCCATCTCAACACAGGATCTCAGGAGCTCAGCCAGAATGAGCTTTGGGTTCTTGGTAACCTCTCTTACCAAGGCCCATCTTCCCTGATTACTCAGTTTGGACAGTTTTAGAAACAGTCCTGGTTGTTCCAAACTTTTTCCATTTATAGAGGAGATATGGATGCCTTTCCAATTCATGTCCAATCACAGGTGGACCCCAATCACAGTGTAGAAACATCTCAAAGATGATCAAGAGAAATGGGGGGCAACTGAGCTAAATTTAAACTGTCATAGCAAAGGGTATGAATACTTCTGTAAATATGATATTTCAGTTTTTCCTTTTTTTAAAAATTGCAAAAATAATTCTAAAGTTCACTTTGTCATCATGGGGTTTTCCAATGAGTGTAGATTCATGAGGGAAAAGTGATTTTTATCTTAGCATAAGGCTGCAGCATAACAAAATGTGAAAAAAACTGAAGGGGTCTGAAGACTTTCCGAATGCAGTGTAAGTCATGAAACTCACCGACTTTCTCTGACAACACCTGCAGGTTGGACACCCGGTTGTCTTTGAACAGCTCAATGCCGTAGACACAGTCAAAGCCGTCATATTTGACCATGTAGAGGGAGCTATTGACAGTTAGACGCTCCAGGACCGTGCCTTTCCATTTGGTAACGTTACCCTTCTCCCTCCAGGTGTGCTGGATCCTGCGGCCCAGCAGGTTGTCAGGGTCTGGGATCAGGGTCGATGCTGAGCTTTCACTCAGCTCTCCACTGCTACGCTTCCTGTTGACATGGGAATAAGGCAATAAGGTCTTTGTTAATATTATTACAACAGTAACAGATTGTAAATATGATGCACTTTTTAGGGTATTTTTTGAGCTATTCAATGGATAGAAGTTTTGGGGTATTCGTTTTGACTAAGTAAGTCTTTAAGATATGAAATGAACTGCTACAGCGTCTTTACCCAACACCCAGGTTGTTCCCCTCGACAACAAGAACTCTATTCGAACTCTAGTCACATATGCACAGAAGGGTTTGTAAGCCTGTAAATGGCTCACAGCAAATATGCAGCAGAGGGTGGATAGTAAAACAAGTATTGTGAAACTTTATCTGAGCTAACTTAGCTCATTTACAGTATCTGTAGTGATAATGTGCCAATGCATTTGAGGTTTGAGAGGGACTCATTTACAGAGTAGATTTAAGAATACCCTGTCCCTCTGGGTGCATAGAGAAGTATAATGTTATACCCTGTACACCTGAAAGAGTTTAAACAGATTGTAGTTTGAGCCTACCTGCCCCGTTTCTTTGACATGTTTCCATAAATTCACACGGCCCTGTGAGACACAAGACAAGTCAGTTAGTGAATATGACAAGACCAGCTGACGCTCTCCTTCTTCACAAACCTGACACCTTAACTCATTTTAGATACAATATTATTTGGGATGTAACATGTAACGTACAACAGACAGACTTGTGTTACTCAGTAGGTTTGCTACCCGGAGCTCAATCAACCACAGCCGTGCAAAAGAGCCAACAGACCCGCATTGCCGGATGTAAACAACATAACTGCGACAAGCCCAGTGCTAATGCTAACTAACGTAGTTCAATGCTAATACAGACAACGGATGATATATTTGTACAGCTAACTATATGGCTAATAAATATGTAACTTCACCGTGGCTAGCCGAATAAATGTCGACGTGTCGAAATATCGTCGGAAATGTTTAGCTACAGTGTGTCTAAAATTAGAAACAGCTAGCAGCTAACATTAATGAAGACTTTCAGTCACTGTTGATTATAAATGAGCAACATTTCTGAGAATATGCGCTCAGCATTTCTACACATACGCTAGCTGAACAAAAGGAAATGCATCACCATGTAGGCGCTGATTGTGGCTACTACATAAACGAAAAAAATAAAGACTGACCATTAGAAATTAATTCATATTTTGAATGTGGTCGAAAAGTTCAATAGGCGGAAGCCGGCAGAAAACGCTGTTTGCCCTACCTGATCAATAATTTCACATGTGTTTGTCTTTGCGGAGCAGATTCCACCAAACGCAGGGCTAGATACACGGAAACGAATCTGATTGTGAACTACATCTACCATGAGGAACTGGCAGCGCTCAAAGCACTCTGGGATTTCACGTCAGGTATTCCTACTTCCTTTGAAATTACCTCAGTCGCCAACGATTTTGGCGCGAATCGAAACCGCGCCAACGCTTACGTAGTCCGGTATTTCCTGTATTTTCTTGTATATTTACATTATTAGGTGTGATTGCTGCAAACGCAATCCCACTGTATGTTTTTCTCAGGTTCAAAAACCCTTAAGCATTTCACCGTTTTCGTATTTCCTTCTAGACGCTTCAACATAGAAACTCCATTTAAACTTTAAAATGTTCAGTGCAATTAGGATATTTTCCAAAATATTCAACGCTTTTTTGACATTTTTCCCAGTAAGATGAATGGACGGAATGTTAAAAATTTCCAGTTTTCAACAACCTTTCCACTTTTCATGCATTTTTTAATCCCTACTATTCATTCACTTTCAGCTAGAAGTCAAACGTTTTTCATTTTGTTTGTATTCAACATGCAACAGAAAATCAATTTATTTAATACAGTTACCATTATGTCTTTTCATGGGGATGCCAGAATTCAACTAAGGCCAGTAGCACGCCTTATGGCCCCCCACAACCAGCAAGGAATGTCTACACCCCACACCTACATGGGCTCAAATAAGGGTCCAAATGATTGCTCACTGCCGATCATTTGTTCAGTTGTGATTCATATAGTCTTTTTTCTTAATAAATTTCAAAAACGTCTTTGCCACAAGCACATTGTTTTACATGCACATTCTCATTCTTTTACATTCTCATGTAGTTTTATTTTACAGGTTTACAAAGGTTGATTTACAACTAAAAAATTTGCAATTATTCCACATTTTGCTCTCTTTGGGGTATTTTGAATATAGTGAAGCAAATTTAACATAATTCTCCATAGATTAATTTCACATTTTTCCTCCAGTTGTTGACTGCTGCAGAATTCCACATTTCTTCCCTGAACACCACCCTGCCCAGTAAAAATAAATCTTATCTAACATTTGCTTAAAAACACAATTTGAGTTTTGTCTTGGCCTACAATTATGGCAAGAATTGCTGAATGGTTATAGATTATAAGATTTATAATACATTTTATTTATTTATTCACTTATCTATGAATTTTAGCTGCTTGCGACATGTGTTTAGGCATATGTCATGTTTGGGGCTAAAATATCTGCTGTATTCCAAGAGTATGAGATTTTATTAAATTAATTCTTGCATTCACAAAAGCCTTTGCATGATAACGCATTAAGTTTTCATGTTGACTGATAATTAGATATTTGCAATATTTTGTCAAAGGCAAGCCATAAAACACTGAGGGAAAACAGGGCATCTTTGTACATGAAATGCTTATTTTTACCACAAGATGTCATACTAAACACAAAGTCTCAGGTCTTTTAACAGACATCAGATGATGGACTGACCAGCATGGCGAGTGAATGATGCAGTATCCTTGGGTGCCTGTCTGACAGCTTTTTCAGGGTGAAAGCTCTTGGTTTTATCTTGTGCCAAACCACCTGTATGTGTATGACTCACCTGTGATGTGGAGATAAAAATGGTGCATAAACCATCACTTCCTGTTTAATGGTAATCACAAAGAAATCAGTAGTGATTGTACACTTACATTAATGATTGTGGCTCAGGAAAAACAAACTATTGTCAATGTATGAGTAACTTTCATTTATTTCACACCACCTTATTAGATATAATTTTTTTTCACTTATTTACGTTTAACTCTCATTTTACTACTGGTAAAACACCCGTACTGACACACAAAGACCCATGACCAAACAGAGCAGTGACAGTTTTGAACATAAATATAAATGGCAAGCCTGTCAAATAACAGTCAAAACAACCTATGTTGATGTTTTCAGTTAGTTCATGTCATCAGAATCATCATGATTTTGTCCACACCTACCACTGAGGTCACTGAGGTCATGTCCTTGGTTTTTTTTCTGGCCATTTAGGAATTTATCTTTTACAATTAAACATGTACAGACAATGAGCATTTTACAGGTTTGGGGGAAACTTGTTTTCAGGATGATGAAAATCTTGGCTACAGCCCTGATCATGATGTACGTATGTCTTACTTAAACATTGGGTGCATCTCTTTGCAAAAATAGACAGCTGTATTTTTGTTAAGTTAACGTGACTTATATTCCTTGAATTTATTTCCAATCAGTGGCATTTGCAGAAACAATTATCTCTCCACTAGCTCCATTAATTAGTTTATCCACAGAGACATAATATCTGTTCTCCATTAGCAGCTATGGTGGTTTGAATGGTTAAAGCCTCAGGTCTCTTTATAAAAGTAAAATTATGATTCTCATTTAAAACAGTTTGACCACAGATATTTCAGATCAGTTCACCACGGGCGGAATTGCTGTGAGATGTGAGTCAGTGTTGGCGCTCTGCAAGGCTGACAGCCTTCCTGAGAAAGCCAGTATTCTATTGACACAAAGCTGTCCGGCATCCAAGGTTGCCTCCTCTTGTCCTTGTTGTTGTCACAGCAACAGAAAAGGTCTGGATGTTGGAGATGTTGGAGGAATGGGCCTGCTTCTTCATTTTTTTTTTTTCTGCTGTGTTTTGTCCCAAGATACTCTAGAGCAGGCATTTAGTAAATCAGTTGTCATTCAGGTTTCAGGGTAAAAGGAAGTATGGAGTGAAACTGCTACTCAGCATGTTCCCCAAAGCAGCTGTTATATCTATTTGTTTAAATTTGATAGCAATACTAAACGTGTTGCTGTTTCTCAGTTGCAAAGCCCCAGAATATGAATCGTTATGTTTACTCGTCTGTCTGACTGACATCTTCTGCTGCTCCTCTCCTGCAGGTTTCTCCAGTGCTGCCATATGAGGAGGGGGAGCCCACAGCGGCCCCGTCCCCTGGGACACCATGAGAATACCGTCTCCAAAAATAGAGGTCTCCTCCTCTCCTTCCATCCTGCTCTTTCAGATATCTGTCGCTTCAGTTTGCTTTACTGGATGGAGGACACACTCACAGATCATTCACACACTCGTGCACAGGAATAAGCTGCACCCTGCGGAGAAAATGCTGTTGATGGGTTTTTGTCAAGTATTGCAGGGAGATTGCATAGCAGAGTCGTAAGGTCAACCCAAGGTTAGCATGTGTGTGTGTGTGTGTGTGTGTGTGTGTGGTGTGTGTGTGGGCCCATTGATTAGATATCTCTATTATTAGCAGCATCCCTATGCAACCTGAACTACGGAAGCTTAAAAGGGACGGTGTATTGTGGCTATAGCATACATGTCTGGGACTGAATCAAACTTGACTCCGTGTGTGTGTGTGTGTGTGTGTGTGTGTGTGTGTGTGTGTGTGTAGCAGGGTGTTGCGGCTAAAAGAGAAGTGTGCTGTTGATTCAGCAACTGTAATTAGCAGGGTTCCTTTTCTGTCAGGATCACAGCTCACCTTTCTCCTCTGAGGACGAAATGGCAAATATGAACACGTTCAACAAAACCCTGTCAGCCAAGTCAAGAAGATACAGTATCTTGATTATTACTTGGGTAACACCCTCCCATTCAGCATTTATTGGCAGTCTATAAACGTTTGATAAATGATTTATAACACAATCTAATGTTGTTGAAGAGTAGACAGAGTTTCCAGACATTATAAGAGCAACACATGCGAGTTTGGGTGGCTGCGGGCTGTTCCTGAGTTTTCTTTCATGTTTAGATGAAAGCTAATTCCCCCTCAGTGCTGAGGCTCTTTTACATGTCTCATACAGTAATGTCATCCCTATAGAAGTGTATCTCCTCACAGGGAGCAGTGAGGTTCACAGAGGCTCACCCCTGCCTTTGGCTTCCAGCTGCCCATTTTTATACATGCAGTCCAATAAATCTAAATCCCTAAAGTCCCCAGTTCACCATTTCTAGTGAGAGAATGAGTCACCTTTTGATGCCTTGTGTATAATTTAGTCTCTATAATTTAGTCTGGTGTAGTGAAGTGCTGTATAGTCAGGTTGACAGTTTGGGTCTCCCTGAGGTATTTTCCTCATCTATTCTTCATCTTGTCCTCAGCTATCGTGTGAACTTGTGAGCAGACTAGATTTACTGGGCCTCGGACGTACTGGGGAGAGAGAAGTGGTTGGTGTTTCCATCCTGTGCAACCTTTTGATTATGCATGCTGGTGATTTATCTGGTCTGATTGTCAGCTAGTAGTAAGGTCCTTGTCAGCAGTTGTGCATTTCCTGGAGAGAGTCGATATCTGTAAGACTGACAGAAGCGTATTTATCTGTCTGTGTCTGTGTGTGTCTGAAACATAGGTGCCAGTAGGCTGTCTTCAATGACAATGACTGATGCCACAAAGTATGAATAAAGTGCGACCGAAATAACTTCATGATTAACAACGGTCCTTTCTGAGAGCTCAAGGTAGCCGCGGCATCTGCCATCCACCACTTAACCATAACACTAAATGTTTCAATGTAATTATATCCAGTCAGTGTGATAATAAGTAAATCCTCTCATTAATTGAGTCTTATTGTGTAGCTCTTGCTGTCACAGCTAATTGACCCCAAGAATGAGGTGGAATACATCTGCCTTCATTTGTGCACAACTCTAATTAACACCACCACAAGAACCAGTAAGGGATGCATGTGTGTGTGCATGTGTCTGTATGTGCGTGTGTGCGTGTTTTTGCACTCTTGTGGGTAACATGGGATCTCCTGACCTCAATCAACCGAGCCAGACCAT